CACCATCTTCAGGGTGGAAGCGAATAAATAAACCAGCATGAAAGCATTTTGCCAGCAATCTGTCTTCATTTTTCGAACCTGAAGATGGAAGCGACATGTTCCTCCTAAACGTCAGTTTACTTTTCAACGGACTACACGGCGTTATATCCCGGAAGATAGAACTCTTCATGACCACCGGTGTGAGAACCGCAAATCCAAGATAACCAAGTTTTATTTTGGAAAATTTTCATTTATAATTCTATTCCCCCCCCCGGTCGGTAGTGCTCGGAAATATAATATTGGTTTCCTAGAGTTTGCTTTTTTTATCTCTTTGTAACGGTTCATATTTTTACCATAAGAGTCTCTCACATTTCAGTACCAACGTCTTTGTAGAAAAGAAACTGGACAGGTTATCTTTATATAATCTAGTAAGATGTAAGATTTGAGGCTTTCACGGCGGTGACTATGAAGAAAGCAGTCTTCTGGGATATATATATAGATAGCTCTGTATATTTCCACACAGTCTGCTTTTAGCGGTTCTCACGGTCTCTTCGCTTTGCAGATTTCTTATATTTTTTCTTCTACCCTGAAGATGGAGGCGATACGTTCCTCCGAAACGTCGGTTAACACCACATATACACGGTGCCAAATCCCAGAAGACTGCTTTCTTCCTAGTAAGATGTGTTCACAACAGATGTACGTCAAGCTGCTTAAAGACACAGAACGCTCAGAATACGAGGGGAACTTCTGGATTCCTGACTTCAGTCACACTCATTTATCACTAGAATCCGGTATGCCGTGACCTTGATAAAAATTATAAGCCCAGTGCTTCATGGACAGCGTGTTTTCGCAAGGTCATCTCTTTTGATTTGGTTGCCATGGCGTTTCACATGCATTCATGTATCTATTCTATCTGGGATACCGCATTGATACCTGATGTGTCGGATTTCTCGGTGGCCAGTTCTCATTTTCTCTATTTTTCGTTTTTTTTAATTCGCCTATTTCGAGTACAAAAGAGAATATCGGCCCATGGCACAAAGAAGGAACTTCCCACAGAAACCGCGAACATAAGTGAGTTTCGGGGGCCGAGGTATAACTCCTGGGCTCCCGAAAATGATTCAGGGTTGTTACCCATTTGATCTTGAATAACTCTGTCTGTACAGCGATGGGCTAGACGGCCTGGGTTTGATTCCCGGCAAGAGTAGCATCCAGACCGGCTCATGGGCCCACCCAGCCTCCTACCCAGTGGGTACTGGGAGTATGGAGGGCGGGCCGTGAAGCCGACCACTCACCTTAATCTAGTGGCGAGGTCAGAAGTGGTTGAGTTATGCTTCACTTCCCCATATATGTCTTCTTAGCATAGTGCTTAATTCCTTAATTATTTAAGCACGGAGAGACCTTTACCTTTTACCCACTTGACCACGGCATCCAATTTGGTTACATAGAGAGAGGAACCGTTCGAGCAGAAGGGTGTGGCCACAGAGCAGGCGACCTTGGTACGCAGTCCACAGACTGCATTCTGATGGAACAGCTATACATAAACCATTGTCCTGTTCCTGTATCACATCCTGGAGGAACTTCATTCATATCCCCGACAGGTCACTGGGTATCTCCCTCTTTATTTCCGTCGGCCACATGTACAATAAACCTGGCACATTGGCAAGGGCTGCGTTCCTATGGATTCACGCGAATCCGCGGAGGTTGGAAGCGTAATCCTGGGAAAGGAATGGCGTTAGGTTCATGGCACGATAAAACACAGGGAGTGAATAAGTACGTATGTGAGAACGTGGATATGCACTAATAGATTCTAAAGGGTTCTGACGATGATGTATAAAACTCAGACTTACTGGATTTTTGTGCTTTGTCCATCGTCCAGTATTCTAAAAACCAGAGAACAAAACTCTGCGGAAACTGCATGTGTTTCCGTCTTCAGGTGAGTGGGAGAAAGAGTGATTGATGTTTGGCTCTTTCTAAAGGACCCATCAGATTTGGTGTCTCCCACTCCCCTGAGGACGGAAACAAATCCAGTTTCCAAAACCCCATTCAGTCTGGGCATATTCTGTATATCATGTATGTGTGCATTAAAACGGTAAAAAAAAGGCGAAGTTTTCTCTGTGATTAATTAAGCACCATGCCTTGAAGATGCATGTGGGAATTGAGGTATAGCACCATTATTAACCTCCGCAGCTTCACGCTCCAGCTGCTTTACTCCGGGGAAAGAGCCCACACACGCTTTATATAGGACAGGCAAGTCCAACTTCTGGTTCTGATCGACTTCTTAGTGTCAAAACTGCCAGTGATCTACCACTCCATCCTATCGTCGTACCTCGCTTTAAGCAAAAATATTGGTAAAAATAACACGACACACGATGTTTCTTGTAAAAGCAACATACATTGAAAGTACAAAAAAATAGGAATGACTAATACGTATTTTCCCTTCAAAATCTGAATATAATCATATTATATTACGT